ACCTACTGAGCTGGTTTGCATCATTTTCCCTGTTCCCTGTGTTATTCATTTCATCAGCAGGTACGCTGCTCTGCAGTGTCTCACTAGTGCAATGCCTCTCAGTTGACTAGAAGTTTTGGGTCGATACTCTGAATTACCTTCCCATTTAAAAGTTGCCCGACACTTCTAACCAGTAATTCCCTCCTTTCTTTGCTTTTCTTTGTATGCAGTTATTTTCTTCATTTTTTCATTTCCCCTGCCAGGTTGTTTAGTAGACATCTCTGTCCAGCACAGCCCCACGCTTTGTCTCTCAAACTTTAACTTTGGCATAAGTTTTCCTTTTGCTTGCAGATTATCTTAGCTGCAAAAGTTTCCCCAGATGAGATAGCTTTCTCAATATATAAATATCTCTTTGGGAAATTACCAGGTTTTCATCTGTTCTTTTTAACTGTGGTGTTAAAATTTCATTTACTGAAACCAGTAGGAGAGTGAAAACTTTTAGAGTGTAGCTAAAATTTGATTATTCTCTTTATTATACTGTGGTTATAATTAAATTAAATTCTTTTTAACTCTAGTTCTATCAGAGATTGTTTGCTCTCTAGTAAATACTTCAGGCTATTTTGTTTTGCATAGGTCTGTCCAGATTTTTCCATTTTGAGTTTTCGAGGTTTTTTTCTCCCATATGCGAGATGTGAGAGTTGTTTTCTCCTGAGAATAATCAAATCTCATCATATCTTGATGAGACATCAATAGTTTCTAAGCTTTTCAAAGAAAATGGAGAGCCTTTCACAATTTTTCTTTCACTGGTTTAATCAGAAACATAGATGATGTAGTAGTTCTTAAGCCATAAGACATCCTCTTGTTTCATGAGGTTACTGGGGGGGGAACCCACAAACAAAACAGTCAAGATCCTGTCATTGTAGCTAATCAGAAGAAAAAAAAAGGGGGATAAGGAGAGGGGACTCAAGTACCTTACTGTATAGATGATGCTATCAAAAGCCAAGCAAATGAACTCTTCTAGCAGTGATCCTCCAGGGAACAGCCCTCATACTGCCTCAAGAGGGGCCTCCATGGAGGCTCAAAGGTTCTTGCAGGATTTGTTGTGGGAACACCTATTTGAATTCCTGCCGAGCTAGTGCTGCCAGGGGGCTGTGGGGGGATGGTCAGGCCCTGCTGCTGGCTGTGAGAGGTGGTGGCTTGCGGGAGTGCACTGAGAGGGAGCCCTAGGTCTGCTCCAGGAAGATGCTGAGTGTGTCTGGAGCGATGACTCCTGGAGTGACTGCAGCAGTCCTGACAAACCAGGGACTGTTTTTAGGAAGGACCGTGCCAGACGGGAATGTGCTTTTTCCAGATATTTTTCACACCAATCATCTTTTGCTTCACAAGTGATTTAGATCTTGCCAGGATTACATCTTGGCTGACTGCATGTTGGGGATTAAATTAAGTTTACTTATAGAATTTTAGACATTAGTAGTCCAGGGTTAAGTTTAATTGTAACTTGCTTACAACTTAGCATGAGTGGGCCCTGGTCAAAGCCTGGGAACTTTAAATGCATTGTTTGTTAGCATGGAGAGCTAAGCAGGGGAGTAAACAGAGAAAGACTATCTTCAGATAAGGTTGAAGCCCTGGAGGGCCCCAAGCTGGAAGAAAAGAACAATTAATGGCCTGCCCACATGGACATGGAGAAAGAATCCAATGAGGTGCTGGAAAACTCCACACTATTAGGCAAGTAAGGAGCACGGGAAGAATCAGGTGCAGAGATTCTGCAGATAAAGGCCCAAGGATTTCTTTGTTCTGGGTCCCTCTCCAGAGGCACCAGCTCAACAAACCCTGCCTCTGCCAACTCAGGGTCCAAACTCTTCCTTAACACTGTACAGCTTCTGAGGTGAAACAATTCACAGCTGAGTACCTGGAAAAAGTCCTTGAACTGTGTGGATGGCAGGAAATCTGGCATGATTGAGGTTCTTATTGGGGTGTTTGATGTGGACTACTCAGCTCTTAAAGCAGTTGTGCAACTCAGAGAGCCTGTCCTGTGCAAGTCATAGGACAGCAGCTTTGCCTTGGAGCACATGCAGGAACCCTTGAAGCTGAAGGGATGTCAGGTACCAGTGCATGAGCTGTGGATTGTGTATGAATCAGGAGAGCTTGACCAGACAGCACAAGCTATAGAGCACGTTAGGTTCTTCTACCAGTGCATCTGGACGACTGGGATGAGGAGGATGACTTTGACTACTTTGTGTGATGTGTTGAGCCTTGACTGAGGTTCCACTGTGACATCCTTGAACACCATGTGCCTTCTGGGCTTGTAGCTGATCGTGGTGAAAAGCTAGAAATACAGTTTCACCATGACCTGTTGTCAGCTGTAAATGCTTGTTATGAAGGAGACACAGTCATCGTCTGTTCAGGTCACTGTGTTGGTTTAGTTGAACTCAAAGGCTAAGGCCTGCCAGAAGATATTGTGATAGAAAAACAAGGAAAAGCAGACCACTATTTCGACTGTCCAGGAGCCACTGTAAGGATCTCTAGTTTGAAGTTAATGCAACACGATGTCATGGAGGGGATTTTCAATTTCCAATATGGGAAAACCACCCTGGAGAGCTGTGTGTTACAATGTGAAACCACAGGCATAACAGTGTAAACATCAGCCTAGCTACTGATGAAAAACTCAGATCTGTGTGGTGTCAAGGGTGCTGGTATGGAAATATATCCAGGTAGTGCATGCACTCTGTTAAACAACAGCATGCACTGCTGCAAGGAGGGAATACTTACGAAGAGCTTCTTAGATGAACATTATGATATTCCCAAGGAAACCATGGCCAATAATGTGATCCATAATAATGAAGGATATGGTGTGGTCCTGTTACTATAAAGTGACAAATATGTGTTAAGAGTATATATATTGCATGTGGAAACTTCACTTCCTTGCTGCAAGTCTGGGTACCATGGTAGAAAACACCTAAATGTTTGTCACTTAGAGACTTTTAAAGAAATACGTGAGTCGAGTGAAAGCTAATGCTAAGACTGGTTGTAGTTGAGAATCTTAATCGATTCATCAGATCCAAAGCCATGTTTCATGTTTTGATGTTATGCCTTTATTTCCCAAGTAAAATCCTTATTAAAGGACAGGGGCTAAGAAAAAATAAAATATAAAAAAACCCCAAAACAAATCACACCACCAACATTAAAAATCAACAGCACCAAACCTACCAGGGTTCAAAAAGCATGTGGACAACACTCTCAGACACATGGTGTGATTCTTCGGGTTGTCCTGCGCTGGGCCAGGAGCTGTCACTTCAAAAATCCTTGTGGATCCCTTCCAAGTCAGGACATTCAATGACGAGCCGGGCAGAGCACGAGAATCTCTTTGTGGTATTGTTCCTGCACAGTTTTGATCATGTTTTTGCACCAGGATGCCATAAGCGCGGTGCCAGGAACCGTAAATAAACAAGGGGAAATACTGCGCTTTGAAACCTGTCTCGTCCCAAAGGCAGATCTTGCTTTGCCATGGAAATGCTATTTCCTCCTGTTTTATCATACCAAGCTACAGCTCTGCCGTTCCACAGCCTTTTCTACGAGACCTCAGCTCCAAAGCCCCGCTGATGTCCCCGCTCCCGCTGTCTATCCCACCCTTTCTCCATTTCCCTCTCCTCCCCGCCGCGCCCCGGGGGCGGGAGGCGGCAGCCGCAGGCTGGGCCAGCCCCCCCTCCTTCCCTCTGGCAGCTCTGGAGCAGCCGGCACGTAGCTGCTCTGCCGGGAGAGCGACCGGGAGACGCTGGGGCGGCCTAAGTGGTTGCAGATGTGCAGCTGCACCGGGCTGGGGTCAGAGCGGCGCGCAGGGCTCGGGGAGGGGGGGTTTGCTCAGCGGGACAGCGGCAGCTCTGGGGACAGAATCACAGAAGCGATTAGGTTGGAAAAGACCTCACAGATCCTCGAGACCAACCTATGACCAAACACCACCATGTCAAACAGACCTGGCGCTAAGTGCCGTGTCCAGTATTTCCTTAAACACTTTCAGGGACATGACTCTCCCCGGGCAGCCTGTTCCAGTGTCTAATCACTCTTGCTGTGAAGAGATTATTCCTAATGTCCAACCGAAACCTCCCCCAGCACAGTTTAAAGCTATGTCCTCTCATGCTGTCACTGCTTACCCGGGAGAAGAGACCGACCCCCATCCAGGTACAATCTCCTGTCAGGTCACCCCAGAGCCTCCATTTCCACAGGCTAAACACCCCCCAGCTCCCTCAGCTGCTCCTCATAAGATTTGTGCTCCAGACCCTTCAACAGCTCCATTGCCCTTCTCTGGGCCTGCTCCAGTACCTCAATGTCCTTCCTGGACTGAGGGGGCCAGAAGTGGACAGGGGGATGAACATTGCCCTTGTCCTGCCGGCCACAGTATTTTCGATACAAGCCAGAATGCCACTGGCCTTCTTGGCCACCTGGGCTGGTGTTCGGACAGCGGCTCCCCGCGGTGTGCGAGGCGTCACCCCCTCCCCAAGGAAGGTTCCCGGCTGTGACTGCGAGACCCGAGGTCGAGCGACCGGGCCCGAACAGGAAACGCCACAGGCCTTGCTAATGGAGTTCTGAGGCCCCCCTGACATCCCGGCGGGGAGCAGCGCCGGGGGCTCCCCAGCCCTGAAGGAAGCGGCGCCTGACGGCGGGGAGCGCCGGGGCCGGAGCAGCCAACGCCCCCCTCCCGCGGCTCCCCGCGGGCTGCAGCACGGCCAGGTTTGAACCTGTTCCCGCCGGAGCCCGTGGCCGAGAGCCCAAACACGCCGCGGGGCCCTGGACGCCGTTTGAAATCGGGGCGGCCCCGCCTCGCCCCCGCCCCCGCCTCCCTCAGCCTCTCAGGGCCGAGGGGCAGGGCCCGGCCGCCATGGCAACCCTGCCGCCTCCGGGAGCGGAGCCCGGGGCGGGACAGACGGGCTCCATGGCCAATCGCAGCGCTGAGCGGCGGCTGCGCGGCTTGGCGGTAGCCAATAGCAGCGGTTGCCGTGATCCCGGTGGGCGTGGCCGCCGGGGAAGGCCCGCCCCCGAGGCCGCAGGTCCCTTTGTGGGGTTTGACAATAAGATGGCGGGCGGGGGGAGGCGGGGCCAGGTGGCCCCGCCCGTCCCTCAGGCGCGGAGCGGGCGGTGAGGCGGGAGCGGAGTGGGGGCTCCTGCGCGAGCGGCGGCGACAGCAGCGGCGAGGCGGTGAGTGAGTACGGCGGGCTGAGCTGGGTCAGGCCCGTGGGGGGCTGGTGCCGGCGGAGCCCGCGGAGTGGTCAGAGCCGATTCAAAATGGCGGCGGGAGCGCGGGGCGATGAGTAACCGCCGGGCGCGCTGAGGGGCCGGGGCAGGCGGGACAAGAGCCCCGCTCCCCCGTTCCCCTCTCCTCCTCCGCTGGGTCCCGTCCCCAGCCGCGCTTCCGCGTCGCCCCCGCCTCCACCCCCGGGCTCCCCGCTGCCCTCCCACCGCCGGGCAGCTCCCCCTCGGCTCCCCGCCCCGGTCCCGCCTCTCCCCCCGGCTCTGCCGAGCTCCCCCCGCTCGGCGCACCCCGGCCCCGTCTGCGTTTCCGCGAGCTCCTGCCCCAGCTGCCCACCCTGCCCTTCCTCGGGAGTTGGAGCCCCTTCGCGAATCCCTCGTGTCCCGAAGAGGTGCCTGCCAGCCAGCCCCCTACGCCCGGGGAGTGGACCAGACCCCAGAGCTTTATAGGGTCCTTTGTCCCGGTCCGAATAGGGATGTTTCTGGCCCTACCAGCCCTCTGCTGTGTCTGCATCCCACCTTATAACTCGACACCACCATATGCGCCCACGTGCGTGTCTAAAGAGGAGTAGTAGCTCTCTTTCCGTCTCTTTTTCACCATTACACAGAGCTTTGGTTTCTTCCCACGGTTCTTAGAAAAGCCAGTGTTGGAGTGGAGAGGATTAGAGTGGTAGAGGGGAGATACAGCCCCTTCTTGTCTTCCCTTGCTAACCATCATCACTGTACTTAAAGCTGTACAGAAGGCAGACTGTGCTTCACTGAACCTCCAGCACTGGCCTAGGTAGGTCTTGTCTGCTTTCTCCTAAAAATGAGCACTGCTAAAATTCCCTGTCTTCTCTGTTACCCCAACTAACGGGAAGCAGCTTTTCCCCTTCAGTACTTAACTGTATCTTTGGCAGCATATCACTATATGAGTCTGAATTGAGTGTGAATCTGGAATGCCTTAAGTTGATGCTCCAGTAAGAGTCGGATCAGATTTCAAGCAACTTATTTGTAAAGCAGACTGGGAATTTGTCAATCCTAAAACCAAAACTTGTAATGAATTACATAATACTGTGCTCCCTGTGCTACTATTAAAAACAAAGCAAACACCAAAATTCCTTTCTCCTGGTGTGTTATTCTGCAGCTGGCTGTTGTCTCCTTGACAGCTTTTTTTTTTTTTTTTTTATAGCTGTTTCAAACAGAGGTTTAGTTTAACACACCAAGTTTGAGCTCATGACACTGGGATAGCAGTGGAAGATGGGAGATGATGTAACTAGTCCAGACATTGCCTCTTGGGCAGGGGCAGATGCTTGAAATTATTGGGGGATTTTGAACACCTTGACTCTGAAGCAGGAGCAGTCTTTACACAATGGATAATGCCTTTTTGAGTACCTTAATACATAAATCAATAGGAAAACATAGTGAGATTTTAATTAATTAAGTTTTAAATTCAGCATTCTCTTGAGATGAGTGCTTGTTGGAGACAGTGCAGAGAAGTCTGCGGGAGGTCATTTATGTGCAAGGTTTTAATTGCATCTGATAGTGGCTATGAAGTTAATGTGCTTTTACAGACAACTTGGGTTCTGGTGCACATATGTATGCCAGTTAACAGAACCTAAAGAAATTATTGCTGTGATGGGCATATTCTCATAAGTTTATACTAACAGAGGTCCACGTGGTTTGGCAGTTGCTCTAGGGAAGAACCTGGAATCACATGCCCATTATTATATTGCATGGGAAAACTTTCCTTCTTTAGTATGTAAATAGGTTACAGACTGGACTGGTCTGCCAGCATCCCCTGTCATTTAGTTTGTCGACGTGGTAATGGCTCTTTTACCAAGAGCTCCTTCAACGGTCCCCTCCTGTATTGGTCCGCTATTCTGGGAGGCAAACGGCCAAAGCCTGTTCCCCAAAAATTGTCAGATAAACCAAATAGCACCAGAAAATATTTCAGTTTGTTTTTCTCGTGACTGCACTGTTTTTACCTGTAGTTATTGTGGGGTGGTTTTTTGTTTGGGTGTTTGTTTTTTTTTAAACGAAGTCTATGTCCACGTCACCTACCCTACAGGAAAGCAGAAATTTTGGGATTCAAATGGTTACCATATACAGCCTCTCAAAGAGATAATTTTTCATTTATAGAGTGTTTTGAAAGTATACCTGGGGAGCAAAAACTTCTGACATTTTATAGTGTCGTAAAGTGTTTGCCAGAAATAAAAAATAGTTTATTGTTTTGTTACTGTGGTGTCTGACTGAAGTTGTAGTTCCGATGCCTTGAGACACTATTTTGAATGTTGCTGTGGGCTCAGTCCATAAAAGAGAATGAAACTATGAGTTGGTTGAAATACAGTTTCCATGATATAACAGCATTTAATCTGAATATTTGGGGTCAAGTCAAAGGATTTTGGCTTGAGAATGTTTAAAGGTGGGGTTTTTTTTCCATTGTGGTATTTTAATGACTATGCAGCTTCTTGAGGAAAAGCATGTTTTCTACACCCCCACCCGCAAGTCCTTTGTCGGCCACCTTCTTCCCTCCCAATATTGAGAGCAAACACCCTTGAAAAATTGTTTGTTACTGCCCATAGTAGAAAACAAGAGGGGATATCCATGTGCATCCTCTTTACTTGTTTCTTTTCTAGGTATGCATTTCAGCTGCAGACACAGAACTGTCTTGTATTGTACAGACATGTCTAGAAAAGTATCTGAATTGTTTTCATAGTTTATCATAAAAGTTTTTGTAGCCTGTTGAAACAGCATTCTTTTCGGATTCAGTAATTAAGGGAATTGTTGCATATGATTGGAAGTTGTGTTTGATATATAAAATCTTATTTTGCCTTAAATGTGTTTTAAAAACTCAGCCTTTATAGTTAAAACAATTTCACTGCTGTCATTACTTTCATTATTGTCATCTTGCAAAGTAAATCTTAGTCATAAAGTTTCTGTGCTGGTAAAGGAAAATTCTCTCTGGTTTAGCTGTGTTTCAGTTTTGGGTTTGTGCCTGCCTGCTCTTTTTCTCTAGATGCTACAGAGATATGCAGGGCTTTGTACAGCAAGGTGAAAAATGTATCATTTTGTACCAAAAGTAACTTGCTTTCAGTAGGTTTTGTGCTCACTTCAATTTTTCAGATGAGTGCTGAAGATTTTGTTTGCTCTTTAAATGGCAAAAGGCGTAGGGATAAGGGAGAGGCTGGTCCAAAGGTCAGGGTAATAGCCTAGGACTTGGAATTAAACTGGCAGTTTCCTTCTGCTGCAGATTTTGGGTGTATTGTTGGCCAAATTTGTGTTCTAGCTGTGAATTGGGTTTAATAGTACTATTTAAGTTTGAAGGAATGACATGAGGATAGAGATATCGAAGCAAAACTATTTTGTTCTTCATCTCCTGTCCTTGCCTGACATCCTACTTCCCCATACTTGGTAGGTGGTGCTCTCACTTTTGCTGTATGGACTCTTGCTCAGTAGCATGGGAGAAGAGGAAGGACTACATCAAACACAGTTACTGGTATGTCATTTTTTGTTTCTTAAATTAAACCATAACAGAGTATTTTGTGCAGTCGCAAGAACAGGGTGACAAAGAGCTGGCTTTATGGTGTAAGACACTAATTGGAAGCAAGTGTTATAAAAAACCCCCAGTGAATGCTGTGAAAGGTTTACCTTTAAGAATCCATAAACATTTTTCCTCTGCTCCTACATGCCCAAGTGTGTGAGTGATGTATTGAGGTTTTCAAGTTTTCTGCTGTGTTCTGTTTTCTGTTGGTGTGCCTTCGAAGGCATTTAAATGCCAAACATTAGGTGTAGGTAAACCAGGTTAACATTCAATTGAAGTTTTAATTACTCTTCACAAGAATATAAGTTGAAATAAAAGAAACTGCAAACTCTGCACAGTGTTTAATGTTTGATGACATGGTTTGTTAATAGTCCCAAAAGATCTTTCTAGAGGTTGTTTCACATGGAGGGGAGGGTGAGTGGCTGTACATAAATAGGATATCCTCTGATAGGAAGTTTGCAGGAATGTCTAAAAATCTGGAAAAGGCACTGTCAGGCAGAAACACGGGTTATATTTAATGAGAATTATGCAAATATGTTAAGTTACAGGATAAAATTTTTAAAGAAACTTCTAAGGTGTTTAATATATTGTTATTCCATGGATAACTTTTTAAGAAATAATGAAAAATAACCATAAGACCAAGTTCATGTATTCTATATTGTAGTCTCTGCACATTAAGATTTCTAAAGAGTTTTGTACCTTCAGTGGAAAGGAGTCTTTTAAGAGTCAGCAAATCCCAAAAAAGGTTATTTCATGGATATGTACAGCAACGTAAGAAGTGTTGTACGGAGTCAAACCAAGTGTTTATCTCACTACTGTGCTATCCCCAGGTTTTCACAGTAGATAAGCATGTAATGTATTTTGAAAAGAACAGTGTTGTTGCCCTTTGGTGGATTTTTAGTGACTCTGAAAGAGCTGAGAGAGAGCTCTCAGAAAGTACATGCTACATACTGTAGCAACCAGAAAAGCAAGGCAGAGTTTAGGGCTTACCAAGGGAAATGGGAAATTATATAGAAAGACACTGCAATAGTATTTTGGTTTTATCAGCTTTTAGTTGAAAAACTGTGTTTTGTTTGGGTTACTGCATTAAAAAAAAATCCCCAGATATTGGACAAACAGGAATTTTAAGGACAGAAGACTGAGAAGGGAAGTAACGAAGAAGCATAAATGGAAAGATCAGATACCAGCTTTCATTTGCAGCCTGATTTTTTTATAAGACTAGAAGAAATTATACCTACTGCATTAAAAAAAAAAAGCTACTTTGTATTCCAAGGATCAGCTGCAATATTTGCATGAGGCACTGTTGTCAAAAATAGTGCAATTCAGAAGAAGAGCTGAGGCTGGTACTTGAGAGGCACACCTTGGAAAGTTCAGCAAGTGACTTTTAGATGTGAATAATGAGAAGCCTGCGTGCAGCCTGTGTATTTTTAGCTGGCAAACCTAAACTAGGAATACAGGAATTTTGCTGTCTTAAGTCAACTGGGAAAGGAGTATAGCAGCCCATATGGAGGATGACTGTTACTATCCTTATTGGACTTGCACAATTCTTATTGGAATTATGCAGTTCACCTACTCACCTGAGTAAGGGAACCGGAAGGACTGCTTTGGGCACCTCAGCTGAATGTCTCAAGTTACATGGAACAAATCTAGATACTACTCTCTGTGTAGCCAAAATAAGCTAATCTTTTCACAAATGCTGCCTGTAGTATTTTGTTCATGTTGCTTTGTTAGGCATGTTAATGTTCTGGAGGGGTCAAATCTTTTAAAGATGGTGTGCCAGGTTGTATTTTTATTTCCAAAATTAGAGGTTAAGCATGCCAGTAGAAACTCTGGAGGAGCGAGGAGACACTGCCTCTCCAGTAAGTGAAATACAGCCATTGAGATGTTTGCTTCTGTGCGAAGCAGCGGCTCCTGACTTCCATCAAGTGTGGAGCTTCATGGGAGCCAGGAGCTGGGAGCCCCTGCCTCTCTCCAATGCCATGCCTTGTGGACCTGCTCACCCCTGGTTCCTGAATGCCGTCTTTGGGACCCAGTCCATATGTTCCTGACCCATGTTGTCCCACACTGGCTTTCTATAACCTGGTATGACAATTCTGATGTTTCTATCTTTAAAGAATTTGCTTTTTAAATTTAAGATTAAAATTTACTGTTCTGTTTTTTAGTCTTTTTTTGTTTCTCCCCTCCCTCCTGAGCTGTTGATGTTGTACAAGATTTGTTTGTTTTTTTAACAGGACACAATGTTTGTTCGAGGATTAAAGAGAAAATGTTTTGATGGTGAAGAAGATATTGAAGGGACCCTGGCTGGTATTAAGGCTATTCCTTCCTATAATCTTCAGAGGCAGTCGCTTTTAGATATGTCCTTGGTTAAACTTCAGCTGTGTCACATGCTGGTTGAACCCAACCTCTGTCGTTCGGTACTTATAGCCAACACGGTACGTCAGATCCAAGAGGAAATGACTCAGGATGGGACTTGGCAGATGATAAATACACAGAGTACAGGGCAGACATCCCTGGATCGTCTTGTTTCAACAGATATCCTCTGCCGTTCATCTAGGGAACAAGCTGAGGGAAAGCATGTTCCAGGCTATGGGACTTTGAGTAAAGACTTTGAGGGTGATGAGAGACAAGATAGTTCAGAAACTATGACAACAGCCTCTTCAGTGCAAGCTCCGAGAAACCTGCAGAGCAACGTGTGGGAAATGGAGAATCCACAAGAAAATAAAGGAAACTTTCAGAAATCTTTAGATCAAATATTTGAGACACTGGAGAATAAAAGTCCTAATTCGGTTGAAGATCTGTTTTCAGAAGTTGACAATTCTTACTATGATCTCGATACTATGTTAACAGGCATGATGAGCAACACAAAAATGGGACATTGTGATGGGCTTGAAACATTTTCTTCTCCAACAAATACAGCTTCTAACTCTAATTGTAAATCTGATCTTAATGAGCTTGATCATATTGTGGAAATCCTTGTTGAATCCTGAAACTCCTCGTGTAGGAGGTAAAGATCTGTTAATGCAAAGAAAAGACTTGAGAGTTTAATGTTAATGGGAAGAAAAGACTCCATAGTTTGTTCTATCAAATCTGCACGAGTATTTTACAAATATCTATATATTATATAGATATATATATTAAGAAGCACTTCATATTGCAAAATAGTGTTAACTCTTAAAGTTAACCTGCAACTTGTAGTGTAATAATCTGATTTATCATCCACTGAACTGTAAGTACATACGGTAAATGTTTCTAAGTTTGGGGTGCAAGGCTCTTGAAATTGGGTTCCTTTTACCAGTTTGTTTTAGCCTTTGATGGAGGATAAGCTCAGTGAGAGGAACTCTGTCATCTTCTTATACTTCTCCCCATAAAAATGATAATAAACCGAGAGAGAAGTTGGATAACTGGTTTCCTATTTTCCTCCGGTTTCCACTTTGTGGTGTGTTACACCACAAAACTCCTACCATATCTGCTGCTTCTGTTCTAAGTCTCTACATGGCTCTTAAAGAGCAGTATGCAATAGTTCCTGTTACCCTTGCTAGCTTCTTCTGGGTTTTGCTACAATTTTCAATTTTTACTTCACAAATAGTTTTAAAGTGTTTACTGGTGTTTAGATCTTTCCAGGTATTTTCCTAAAATATATTTTTACTACAGATGTTATGTCAGCTGCTAACTTAGTAACTTTTGATCATATCTGCAGTTGATGTATTTTTTGCAAGATTTTTAAAAAGGGATGTTTTTTTTACCATGAACTACCTAATGTAGTTCAGTAAAGTGTATGTAAATGTAAATATACAATTTTATACTTTACATTAAAATGTAAGAGCTGTTTTCATTATTCTGTTTTATAGAGTAGTACTTTACTAAATTGAGAATTGTACATTTATGCTTTTCATACCCCGCATACTTGAGTATCATTATAGGAAGAGCTTTGATCCAGCTAGATACAATTACATTTAATTCATTTCAGACCATACTTTTTGTTAACTACAAACCTAAATTACGTAGGTTTTTATTTATGTGTATTTATATGTAAATGTCATCAAGTGAATTGTTTATCACTGAAGTCTACCATCAAGTATTTGTTTATATGGGATAACTATCTTGCACTAATTACTACAAAAAGTGTTATTAGCGGCCTTTAAATCTCACTGGTATGTCATGATGTCTTGTCATAATTAATATGCTCCACTCTTACCAAGGGTTTCCTCTTGGCTTTTTTTTATAATAACAAAAGATAATACAACATGGGATGGTGGTCTTTTCTTCACATTCAGTTTAGAATGTATATAATTAGACTTCTTCCTATGAGGCTTTTTTAGGGGAAAGGAATAATTCAAGTACAGCCTATGGTTTTGTTACAAAATAACAAATGTTTGCCATCACAAGCTGCTGCTGGGGAAAAAGCCCCAAGCTAGCAGGGAGCAGAGAAGGGGAAAAGATGGACTGGTTTCTGGAATGTGTTAGCGCTGGCTCTGCCAGGGGAGACATCTGCCAGTGACTCGGTTGTTTTCTGTAGATCTGAACCAAGCAAGTTGCTGAACATGAAGAGAAAACCTTGCCGTGTCTGACAAGCTCTGCCTTCCCACGAGTGACCTTCCCTACTATGCACTGTCCTTGGCAGATCCTCAAACCTCTGAAAAGGGGACTGGGGGGGGGAAGTACCAAGGGGGTGTTAAGGACCTTTGAGTATCACATCAGGAAAAGGAGACCACTGAGCTTATGTTTTAAACAAGTGCTTTAGAATCATGTGCTTTGAGGAAAAATTAGAGCATTTAGCTAAATTTTTCAAACTCAATAGTTGCATGAATATTGGTTCCATTGCATGAAACCACACACTTGGTGTGAGTCTTCAGTGAATCTGAAAGTGTTTCTTGTATTAAGCTTGGCACAACATAATCTGTAGTGACTGTAGTAGTTAAGCTTTGCTTCCTCAATTAAAGCTTGATTAATAACTTCATATTAAAGGATGAAATACCACATAGGCACTTGCAAGTTCAGTCCATACGATATAGCTGGACCAAAGAAAAGCCAATGCTACGTCTTAATCAATTGAGATGGGTGTTGCAGTAGTTCATCTTGCTTCAGGAGTCTACAAATGTTGATCAAACTGTCATACCTCCCAATGAAATAACAGTCTGCTTTATTTGGTAGTGTTTGTTGTAGAGATTGCTCCAAAATTATAAACCTGCAGGTAATTTTTGCTTGATGCTTTTCTGCGTGTGAACCACTGAATTGGACAGCAGATGCCTTAGGGTAAAGCAGAAAGCCAGGCAGTTTTATAAAGGGAACATCATCGTTAAATTGAATAACTAAATATCTTCTGTTTCTCTGGGAAAGTTCCCCGAAACTGCTCTAAACTGTCTTTAAATAGTCTGAACTGTCTGCATGTTGCAGGTAGGAATTAGTATCATTTATTCATAACTGTTATATATGTCAGATGCAGGTGTGTGTATTTCTGACTCTATACCTTTATACTGTACAGTGGATCTAGCTGGGTGCATTCCTTTACTGGGGAAGCTGTGCCTAATTAAAACAATTTGTAGAGACTGTGTGGCTTAACGGGAAAGGTATTGGGTAAATATGCTTTTATGGAGTTAAGCATTTAAACAGAAATATATATCCTGTTTTATTACATTCTTAAAACTTACGCCAAATATGTGCTTTTACAAGCCTGACATCTTGGCTTGGCAGGTATAAGAATTGGTGTTGCTGAAACTTGCACAGTCACTGTACTGATGTGTGCCTACAACTGGTCTGACTTTGCAGAGGCCAGTCAGTGTAAAATCAGCTTGTGTCCCCACTGCTCTAATAACGTGTCTCAGTCTAATTCAGCTGCTTGTGTTTTGCCTGTCCTGGTAGAAAATGAGGAAAAAAAGGAATTAAAAAAAAGAGCTTTATTTTCTAACTGCCATTGTAATTTGTTTGCTAGTCTAAAGAGGTACTGGTTAAATATGCATCACTTAAAGGTTAATACAATGTTTCCCCTCTATTTGTTCCTCTGAGGTACTGAGAGACATCAGAAATGATACAGTGCCTGTAAGATGGTAAATTCTAAATTACTTAGTGAGCTGTTAATACAAATGGTAAGAGGTTATACTTGCTGCTGGGGATTTCCTTAATTTCTACATATAAATGGGAAATAATTTAGCCTCTGTTAAATTAGGAAAGGCTTCTGACAGATTTTGCTGCCATTTTTGTGCTCCTAGGGAAAAGCGTCATGGAGTTTGCATGGCAGTCAATGCCACGTGTGAAACAAGGCTGTTGGTTTGCGTGATGTAACTGGGCTGCACACTTGCACAAAACAAACTTTCAAGCACATAGCTAATATCAAATCTGCTTCTTCCTCAGGTAACCTTGAGTTACCTTCTCTGTCTCCTTCTGCCTCTGTGCCTGTGGTTTTATTTCTCTTTCTCCCTTGCCAGAAAATACCAGGTTCTGTAGCTCTGGCGTTCAGCAAGTGCAAGAAGTGTGAGGATCCAGGCTGCAGTAACAAGGGCTTGTCTGCCTATTGCTTCCCTGTTTGCTTAGTGTTTGTTGTTTTCTTTTAATCTGTGAGCCTGTCTAGCAAAAGTTGTCACTGTCTCTATGAAGAGAGCCATATTTGCCTCAAGGACAAATTTGGTCAATGAAGAGGGAATTTCTTTGGATGAAAAGCACCTTTCCTGACCAGACTGCATTGGGAGAGCAGCAGTGAGGGGTTCCAGCCTTGAACAAAGTAGGGATTCACATGTGAGCTGAGCCTTCAGACTAACCAGGAATTACCTGTTTTGAAAGCTGTCCTTAGACTTTTTTTGAAGTCTCAGGTATGTCTGGGCTGCTTTAGTAGGCATCTTAAAAGACATTATTGTAAATTGACTGAGAGTGTAGCTTCATATTGTAATTACCAGACCATTATGGATTTCTTGTGCCTCGGAATATTGATTTGAGTGTATGGCTGCTTTGCAGCCCTGCAAACTATTCCATATTCCCGTACAACTAAAGAGCTTTCAAAAGGTAGAATGAAAAAAAATCCATTTATTTGCTGACATCTAGGATAAGACAAATAAAAATGCTTTCAATAGCGACTTCTGTTCAAAGTGTAAGTCTGCTTCTGTCTCAGGTCTAGGATGTATAGTCCCATATGCAAAAAAACATGACATGATGACAAATTTTGTTTGCTCATCAACTCTTAAATGAGTGTGATTTCACACTCTGTGACTAATACTAAAAGTACAAAGCCACCAAGTTTCAAAGAAATGAAATAAACATCTTGGGAACATACATATTTTTGTCAATCTGACTTGTTCAGGGTTTTGCAAGGATTGTCTGAACTCCTTTTGGTGTCTCTTGCAAAGTTGACAGTTAAGATAAATTTTCCTATTTTTTTCAAGGAAATTCTGTGAAGAGATGAAATCCCATTGAATAATTTAAGTTGTCAGCAAAGAGACTTACTTTAGATGTTTGTAGTGCCTCTTTTTAAAAAAAACCCAGTGAAAAATACTAAAATTTCGTTATCTGACATGATTTTCATAAGTTTGTATGGCAGCTCTTGTTTAAAAAAACAATTACTCCTTTGCTTAACCAAGATTCCCCCAAAATGAGTGGTTTATGACCTTGAAGAATTATTGTGGTATGTTCATGCATGACCAACATGTCAACAGGAAAACCTAAAGCTAGAGGCAGCTTTGCATTGCAGGGAAAACATTTGAGTAATTTCAACTGTCATCTTCTTAGGAAGGAGTAATTGAAGATACAGGTGAATACGTGATTTCTTTCAAAAACAGAACTAAAAAAAAATTGTATCCATATGTCTGCTGCATTTGAAAATCCCCTAGGAGCATGTGGAAAGTGCAGGTATGTACTGCAATAGTAAAATGCTGTAACAAAGGATCAGTGTATAATATTTTTCATGTACCAATTACAGACAAGTTTTTTGAAGAGGAGATCAAGAAAATGTAATGCAACTTCAAATTGGGATTCTGCAAGCTTCTAAAACAGGACTTCTGAAGGGAAGAACAGGTATGGTTCTAAAAAAAAAGTCAAACCTTCAAAGAAAACCCAGAAGAGTTTAATACTTAGAGGGAAAAAAAAACAGTACTTGTAACAAACTCACTTTTCTTTATTTGAGATCATTACTGAGGGAAAGGGTAGATATGGAAAGAACTGGGTGTTGGGATTGTTTTGTGTCCAGTGAGCTGTCAAGTTTAAGATAAAATTGTTGAATGTTTTTTGTTTTAATTGAAGCTCAGTAATGTGGTTTGCTTTTGTGTCTCTGTTTGAAAGGTATAGGGAGAAAGTGCTTTTTCTTGTAAATTGTGATTCTTTTGACAGAATAATGGCTGATTTACTACTCTTGAGAAATATTCAGTAAGGTGGTGGTGGTGTTTTAATAACCATCTTGAGTCATGGCTCTTTTTTTAAAAAAGCATGAGTAAGTGCAGGATTAGTTTGTTCACAGAGGCTTTACCACCAAAAAGAGGTGGTAAAGCTAACCAGGCTTTAGTGCAGTATGCTCTGCCTTTCTCACTTCCCTGTGGAAACACGGGATAGGGGATCATTCTGCCGTTCAGCTTCAGAATAACTAATTCATTTCAACCAAATCTGGCAGATCTCACAGTCACTACATTTTTAGAATTCTTCTAAGTGTGGAGATGAGAGATCAGAAGAAAACTGCGTTCTGTACTAGTATACAGTAATCCAGATAAGGGAGAGACATAAGTTTCCAGGCATGAGACCAGCTTCAATTAGAGCTTGTACCTTAGACTCAGAGGTAATTAATCACAGGCATAAATCCATAGGAAAGCAGTCTTCATTTGTTCCTGTGTTCCTGGAACCATGTTTTTGAATAGATGCCTAGTACAAGGGTAAGGAGAAGTAGCAGACCTCCAATGATCCTTTCAGATGAGTTATATAGAGACCTTGATTGGTTTGGGGGTTGGGGTTTTTTCTGGTTCATGTGAAATCTGCTGCAAAAGCAAAAGTGCTGCTCATGAGAGCGGTATCCTGGCCTGCTGCAGTGAGTATAGTCATACTGAAAGGCCATGTTTAAATCATTAAAAAATCATATTAGGCCTCTGTTTGCCTCGAGCCTAGCTTAAGTCAAAATGGGAGAGCACCAGACTCCTAAAACATGACCTCATTTGAGAAAGTAAGGGCCTTTTAATGAAAGTTTTTTGTCAAGAAAGACCTTATACAGGAGCTCAGCCCTCTGAATTCTTCACCCTGTGAGACAAGCATGGATCCTCTAGTGTAAGGTGCAACTTG